GCCTGGTCACGTGCTTGTTCACCTACATACATAATATAAATAGTGAGTTGAAGTCCACTGAATAATAACAAAGCAAAGAATTTTAATGAATGATAACCAGCACAGACTGCAAATCTCATGGTAAATCAGAATCATAATCAAGTAGCAGAAACAGAGTCATAGCCTTATTCCTATTCAAATCATGTGTGGTATATCTATTAGCATAAACATGTCTCTTTGGTCAAGCATATCAAGTTCCATAAAGGAACCTCCGGTACCGAGTAGCATATCTCATACATCGGCCACGGTATTATTTCTCCCGAGCGAGGGCTTGGGCCACGGTATTATCCCCCGGGCTAGGGCCTCATGACCATAAGCCACAGTATTATGTCCCCTAGGCGAGGGCCTCTGCTAAGGATACCACAATTACATTCCAAGAAAATTGGACAATCATTCATTCATACAAAACATAGCATTTCAGAAAACTTATCATTTCATATCATTAGAAAATAATTAAAGTCAAACATAACTTTACAGAGTTATTACTCACAGATAACCGGTAGCTCCAAATAAACGGCAAAGTTGGCAATTCACCTAACCTGAGGTGCGTGACCTACATAATATGACAGATTCATACATTGAAATACACATTTGGATTGTACATAACTTATTTCATTTGTTCTTAGTGTGTTTCTAGCCTTTAACCTCATTATGGAGTCTTAAACATGGCCTATGAATGCCTAGAATGAAACGAGGATGCTAAAGTGCACTTGGAACACTTAATCAAAATTTTGCTGAAATAGGAGTCTCGCTTGAGCGTAGCTTTCTTCGCTCGAGCGGACATACCGAATGTGAGTTGTCGCTCGAGCACACACTCCTTTGCTCGAGCGGTCTGCAAATTGTGAAAAAGTTCTAGTTGCATGCAATTTTCGCTCGACGGTCGCTCGAGCATAAGACACAAGTCTTCGCTCGAGCGCAAGTCTTATCGCTCGAGCGTGCTTCCAAACACACAAACTTCTAAAAGCATGCAATTTATGCTCGAGAAAACCTTTTTTTGCTCGAGCGGAAGTGTGAAAATAAAGGTGGTCGCTCTAGCGTAGAATCCTTCGCTCGAGCGTGGAAGCAAAATTCTGGATTTTCCAGATTTGCTCTCAAAGTTCAAAACATGAATCCAACACTCCAAACTCATCCTTATGGGCCAAAATTCTGAAAAACATTTAGAAAGTCACAAAACATCGTGATTTAAAGATCATTTCATGAAATCAAGGCCCAAAAGCATGCCAATTGTTCATAATTTCAACTTAAACCTTATGGATGTTCAAAAAACATGACATGCACGAAATGATTGAGTTTCAAATCCCCAAATCATGATCAAATGAAATGGGAGGATGTAAAACATGATGAATTTCTATAACTAAGCTCAATTTATGGCATGCATGAGAGGACTTCCTAGTGAACATGCTCCAAATGTATTGAAATGTACATGCATGTATGAATTGATCTTCCTCTCTACTTTTTAAGCTTGATTCCTATATCTCTTAGCTCAATTTATTTGAATTCATGGATGAATTAACTTAATTTCAAGACTAGAGACTTGGCTTCTTACTTTTCATGCTCAATTGGGTCTTAGGTGCTCAATTCTTGAGCTAGATGATCAAATTTCCAAAGTTCCTTATTCTTGCCTAGCAACTCCTTTTAATTGAGTTCAATCCTCAAGCCTAAGACCAAATCTTCCTACTCTCTCCCTCTCCTCACATTTGTAGCTCCAAAAGAGTGTAGTGAGGGTGCATGAGTGCATAGAAAGTCCATTAATGCCTTAGTTTGGCTTGGTTACTAGTTTAATTAATTAAAATTAAATAAGTAGGCATTAACTTAATCGAATTTAATCGTTTCAAATCGAAATTTAATTAAACCTATCATAAGGTTCTAAAAATTCCAAATAACACGTAAATTAAATCAATTTCTGTATTGGATGTCGATAAGGCCTTCAATTTGCAAACCAACACAAAATCATGAACAGATCTTTCTACGACAATAGATATAAATGCATATAAAGCAACACACTCATGTAGTCAATTTAGAATTTCATCCTATTTATTTATTTAGCATAATTAATTATGAATCAGTGTTAATCGTGGGTCGGGATTGTTACATAAACAACACCATCCAATAGGGGTGTTCAAAATAACTAGAGAATCGAAGAACCGAACCAAATTGACCTCTTTGGTTCTGGGTCTTCAAATTGGTTTGGTTTGGTTTTTTAATGCATTGGTTTGGTTTCGGGTCTTCAAATTGTCAAACCGATAGGATTGGATTGATTTTTTGGTTTAGGCATTATCTAAACAAAACCAACCTAAGAATTGAATCTATATATGTATATATATATTTTTTAATTTGTTTTTATTATATTGACATGTTTTTATATTACCATGGTCTATATGTTATTTCAAATTCTTATTTCATTAAGTCTGTGCAATTAAACAAATTTTGAATGATTGGTCCAAGAGTAATAAACTATACTTCAACATAAATAATTTAGTTTACTGACAAGGTAAATGATTTAGTGTGAAGAATAAGGGAACTCATGAACCGTATGTATGTGTATTATGAAATGTTAGACTCTGCTTCAAGTTCTTCTTTAAATAGGATGAGTCAAAGTTCAAATAAAATAGAAGTTGATAAGCTCATGATAGTAGTTGTGGTGATATTGTGAAGTCTCTTAAATCTGAATTTTTGAAGAACTTGGAAGAAGAAGAAAATATTGATGCAAAATCAGAGGTAGACAAATTAAAAGAAATATTGATTCAATTATTTTTAATATAATGAAATCTTGGTTCCAAATTGAATCAACCCGACCTACATTGGATTGGTTTGAATTAGTTCTAATGTATGATTGGTTTGATTCTGGATCCAAAAATTTGAAACCGATCATGATTGAATTGGTTTCAAACACTACAAGAAAAAACACCTTTGGCGACTAAATTTTTAGTCGCCAAAGGTCCTAATTTAGTCGCCAAATGTCAAAATTTCACTTTTCCCGACTAAAAAGTTTAGTCGCCCGTGTTGTCGCCAATAAACGGTCGCGAATGCCTTCGGCGACTGAAACACTGTTAGTCGCCAATATATATGTCTTCAGCGACTAAAGATTTCGTCGCCAATAGTCAATTTCTTTATTATAAATTATACCTTTGCCGACTAAACTGTTAGTCGCCAATAGTTCATTTTTATTTTATTATTTATACCTTTGGCGACCATTCACTTTAGTCGCTAAAAGTATTTTTTTTTTGCCTCCGCTGCTCCCAACAGGTTTCGAACTTGCGACGTCCCTTTGCACACGCGAAACCCTTTGCACAACACTCCATCCACTATGCCAGTACATCATCACATGATCATATATGCAATATATATTATTTATATACTATATTAACCGCAATTAATACAAAATAATATTTATAAATATAATTTTTGTCAAAAAATAAATTATTTACTAAAAAAAAAATTAGGCGACTTTTGGCGACTAAAACCATTTTTTAGTCGCTAATTGTATTATTTTGGGCTACTAATTATTTATTTGTCGCTAAAAAAACAAGTTCTCAATTAAAAATCAGCACTTTTGGCGACTAAACAGAAATTTCGTCGCCAAAACCACTACTTTGGGCGACTAAAATGGATTTTCGTCGGCAAAACCCCCACTTTCAGCGACTAAATTGTTTTTAGTCGGCAAAACTGCTATAATCAGCGACTAAACCTGTTTTTAGTCGCCAAAACCATACCTTTTCGCTACTAAATTATTTTAGTCGCTAAAAATCGTGACTTTTGGCTACTAAACAAACTTTAGTCGCTGAAAACCCTATATTAGGCGGCAAAACTTCCTTTTAGTCGCTAAAAACATGCTGTTCGGCGACAAACCCTTTTAGTCGCTAAAAACCTGCTTTTCAGCGACAAATTCCAATTTAGTCGCCATTTCATGCACTTTCAGTGACGAAATTTCATGTTTTGGTCGCCATTTCTGTTTTTTGTTGTAGTGAAAATTAGGCCTCGTTTGGGAACAGGCTAATTTAGTAATTTTTTGGCTATTTGACTAAAATTTGAGTTAAAAAAAACTAGTATGTTTAGGATGACTTTTTGACTTTTTACAAAAAGATGTGCAAAAAGTAGAGAGAAAAGAGAATCTTTAGCTGTGTTTGGTTGTGCTTTTGAAATGTGATTCTACATGCTAGTTTCAGCTCCCTGTTTGGTAAGAGTTTTGTAATTAATTTTTCAAAACTCTGCCGAAAGCTCTGTCCATTCTGCGCGTTTCTTGTATTTTTTTTGGCCAGGGGAAGACAATTGATTTATATAATTGGGAAAAATATTTTCTGAATTTTTTTTAATTTTTAATGTGCTTTAAAATAATTTTGAGTTGTATGTTTAGTTAGGAGTTGTAAATTTTTGTATCACATATCAAATATCACATCAATAATTCCCCACTCAAATCAAACCTCTTTTCCAAAACTATTTTCAAAACTCTTTACCAAACAAATTTTCTACACTCAAATCATAATTTTACAACACAAACTCAAAATAAAACTCATACTCTCAAATCACATTTACAAAATACAACCAAACACAACTTTTGACTTTTTAGTATGAATTGTTAGCTTTTTGACTAATTTAGTAACTTTTTAACTCTTTGACTAAAATAGAAAATTTCCAAACGAGGCCTTAATATCATATTGAACCAAACCGACTCACGAGCACCCTACTGTCCAATCTACTTGTAAACCGGAAAGGAGCTGCCTATAAAAAAAATAGAGATAAAATTACCAAGTATAGCAAACATCATTAATAATTTCAATTGCACAACTAGTATATATGCTCAGTCTTAAAGAAAAATATATAATTATATGAGTTAAAGAGATCCTCTTTCCAGGAAATTGCAAGCTAGGCAATTTTGAATAACTAGTACGGCCCTTGAACTACTCTACAACTCTTTTGACTTGGCAGAACATCTTCAGTATAAATAGCTCCCCCACCCTTACCCTTCTTTTACAAACACACTTGAGCTTTGGTATCTCAATTCAAAACAAAACAACAAAACAAAACAAAACAGAGGAGGGGGAGAGAGAGAGAGGCAGATCAGCAGAGTGAGTTCCAGAAAGAACAAACTAGGATGGGGAGAGCTCCTTGTTGTGAGAAGATGGGACTGAAGAAAGGACCATGGACAGCTGAAGAAGATCAACTTTTGATCGCTTTCATACGACAACACGGCCATGGAAACTGGCGTGCTCTTCCTAAGCAAGCTGGTAATTAACTACCTATATATATCCCCATCTAGATATATATACGGCAAAGAAATACATTAATTTGTATTTCTTAAAACAATTCAAACTTTTTATTTTTTAAAGAAACTTGAAAAAGTTCTTCTTCAAACTGTTGAACCTACAAAAATAAAATGATACGAAAATTTACCAGTGGTTTCAAACTTTTCGTTATTTTTGTTTCAGAAAACTTGAAAAACGAAAGCGAAGAGAATAAAACACAACCAGACATGCCAAATTTTTGTTTCCCCTAGTGCATAAAGTGCTTGCAAATCCCACCTATTTCTTTTGCAAAAAAAAATAAATAATGCATCAGTTTCAGTTTCAGTTTCAGTTTCAGTTTTTTTTTTTTTTTTGAACTGGCTTCAGTTTCAGTTTGCTACTTATTTTTTTATCTTTGCATTTAACTAACAAGATATATATATATATACATAATTATATAAAGTCAAGTTGATTATACAAATTTCAATCACTTCTTATTACAAGTTTCTCTTGAAATAAAGTGACTAAATTGTATTTTTTTTACTTGATTTTGTTTAGGCCTATTGAGATGTGGAAAAAGTTGCAGACTGAGGTGGACCAACTACTTGAGACCAGACATTAAGAGAGGGAATTTCAGTAAAGAAGAAGAGGGTACAATCATCAACTTACACGAAATGCTTGGGAATAGGTGTGTGTTTTTCCCTGCACTGTCTCTCATTAATTCAATTTTTTGGGAAACCATGTAATTCTCTTGGCCATGAATCAAACACCACCACATACTGATGACATATGGGTCCTCACGTTCAATCACATTGATTTCGAGAAATGTACCTATGAAAAACAATATTAATAATAATAAATTTTGATCAGAAACATATATATGAAAAATAATATTAATAATAATAAAATCTGATCAGCAACATATATATGAAAAATTATTAGGTGTTTGAAGCAACGCTCCATTTTATTTATTGATTGATATTTCATTATATTATTTTTCAAAATACTAACATAAAAGTAATAAATTTTATTGTTTAAATCAACAATTATCAATTTATCATTTTCCTATATAATATATAGTTATAGACATCTTAGTCTTATTTTGATTACACTGAAAGTGTTAACAATGTCGACATTGATTGTTACGGCCGCCGCAGTTGAATTTGATGATGCCACACAGTAACTGCTTTCTTAATCAAATACCTAATTATCAATATGCTGTTTAATACATATGTTGTGTATGTTGAAATTCATAGTTATATAAACTAAAATATAATTTAATCAGATGCTTTCATATAAACCAAATGACATTAATACTAATATCTATGCATAGATCATATCTTATTGGGCTTTTGTGCACTCTTAATAGTCATAGTTATATAAACTAAAATATAATTTAATCAGATGCTTTCATATAAACCAAATGACATTAATACTAATATCTACGCATAGATCATATCTTATTAGGCTTTTGTGCACTCTTAATAGTCATAGTTATATAAATTAAAATATAATTTAATCAGATGCTTTCATGTATGCTACCCTCTAGGGCCACTATAAATTAAACAAATATATAGCTAAACTTAATGACAAACTCCTGTAATTTTCTTATATGAACATATTTTTGTCCATTTTCAGATGGTCTGCAATCGCAGCAAGATTACCTGGTCGGACCGACAATGAGATTAAAAATGTTTGGCACACCCACTTGAAGAAAAGGCTCAAAAATTATCAAAGCACCTCCAACACCAAAGGACAAACAGTGACAGAGCCCAAATGCGATTCCAATGCCTCAAGTGAATCCAACACCATGAATTCGGGTTTTGAGAGTTCTGAGTATGCATCAGTTTCCCCACAAGATTCTTCTAGTGAACTCTCATCGGTCACAGACTTAACTGGCTTACCAAACAACGTAGTCATTAAGGACGAATCAATGGACACATCTGAGACATTTCCTCAAATTGATGAAAGTTTTTGGTCCGAAAAATTATCAACCGGCAATTCCACCACGCAATCGGACTTTGCTGGTTCCGCCGAGGAGTTACAATTTCAATTTCCATTATCTTCATCAATGACTGCTTCTATTGGTTCAATGGAACATGTCAATGAGTACAACTTCAATATTGATGATGACATGGAGTTTTGGTATAACCTTCTCATTAAAGTTGGTGGTTTACCAGAATTATAAGAAATCTGAGCAGTATTTTTCTTTGTATTAAATGTAGCAAATATTAGAAAATTTGAATATTCTGGAGTCCAAACCCAGTTGTCCAAGTCCAAAAGCTATAGTGTCATTTTGTCAATAAAACAAAAAGCAAGTCCTTGGTGGTGAATATTGTTTTTATAAAGCAAGTGTACCCGAGTGGTGAGTTGAAGGGCCAAAGGGAAAATAAAAAAGTTATTGACTTGCAAATTTTTTTGTATACAGATGTATTTGAGGCTTTAGTGGGGTAAATAGGGTGTAGAGATAAAAAATTTGTAGGTTAGAAGAGCCCTATGAGCCATCTTTGAGTTGTATAACGATTATGATGATGATGATGATGAAAAAAACAAATTTGCTTCTCTTTTCATTAGTGCCAATGGATTAAATATTAATTTAAAATTTTATTGTATTTTATTATCAGAACTTAATAAAGATTATTTGTCCATGTATAATTTCTTGTGAAGTATTTATTACGAAGTGAATTTATAAGAAGTCATCATAGTAGAACAATTTTTTTATTCTACACATAAATGAATCAAGTCGAGTCAAGTTGAGTAGGGGATGTTCGAACTTGGTTTGAAAAAATAAAAATATATTTTTAAACTTGATTTGTTAGCTCATCAATAACAAACTTTAATTGAGTTGAGTAACTCTATTTTTTTTTTGTTTTATTTTTAAATTTATGTAGTTGTGTAATGTGTATATATTTATCTTGGAGTCGTAAGTTTAAAAAAATAATCACGATGTTGGTTTTATTTTTTTGAATTTTTTTTTCAAAGAATAATTTAAAAACTCTGTTTTGAAAAAGAATCTTTGTTTGGTTTTCAAAAAATATATTATTGCAATTTCAAATTTCCCTCCAATTTAAGGAGAGAGACAATTTAAGAAAAAAATTGTCACATCAAAAAATATTCTCATTTTAGTTATTTATAAACATACTATATATGTATGAAAATATAATTTGATATGTACCCATTTATGAATACATATCCTATCATTAATTGTATGACTTTATTTACGAATTGACATTAAAAAAAATTATAAATTTATGTTTAAATTTATGATTTACAAAATTTTCTGCATAACATTTATGAAAATTTAATTTTGAAAAAGAAATTTTTTTTAATGCCAATTTGGAATTTTTTTTTACGTTTTTTGTGGTTGAAATGAGTAAAAATTTTATAATAAAGTCACACATTTAATAATAAGATATGTACTCATAAATAACTACATACCAAATTATATCGGAAATTACATCCCGCCCCCTGAGGTTTGTATTTTCATAACAATTTACCCCCTGAGGTTTATATTTCATAACAAATTACCCCTTAATTTCTTATGTAAATATAACATTCAGGGGAAAATTCGTAATTTCTCAAACCTCAGGGGGGTATTTGTAATTTAGCCAAACCTCGAGGGGTGTATATGTAATTTGTCCTTTTTTTTTTTAAATTGTCTTTCTCCTTAAATTAAAGGAAAACTTCAATTTTAAAAGTCCTCAAAATATCATTTTCAAAATTGTCTCTCTCCTTAAAATCATCTACATATCATTTTGAAAAACGAACTGAGTTTTTGGAATAATCAAACGAATACTCTAAAATTTTCAAAAAAACAAGGTTGAAAAACCACAGCCAAACATAACTTTTCAAAAAATTTTAAGTTTAACTTGCTAAATCAATCTCAAAACATGACTCAAGCTCCAGTGCTGTTGATTTGATTGTGATTTGATGGAAAAAATAAGGTTGCATCGGTAGAGTTTTCAAATTATAATTTGATAATAGAATTATATTTTGAATTTGTGAGTTTTGAAATTATAATTTAAGAAGAAAAAATTTATTTAGTTATAAGTTTTGAAAAAAAAAATTGAATTGAGTTTTAAAATTTTGATGTGACATATGAAATAAAAAAAATTGTTTGGTTATGAGTTTTGAAAACTCTTTTAAAATTTAATTCAAAAAAATAATTTGTCATTTTGATTTTAAAAAATAATTTTTATATTTAAAAAATATTAAAAACAAATATAATTTTTTTTTCAAATAACAAGTGGCAATTGGAAATTGCAAAAAAAAAAAAAATGTATTGTTTCGGACAACGGGGTGAATGGTCTGGACATCCAAGAGCATGTCTGGGGTGGACAACCGGGTAGATAAAAAATTCAAAAAATTTTTGCTTTACCAAACATGTTTTTAAAATGTGTCTTAAAATTGATTTGGAATCATGATTTGAAAACTTTTACTGAACATAACATTAGAATATAATGGTGACATTAGTTTTAGAAAGTCTTACCAAACACAGCTCAACTTTATCTTAATGGAAAAGTTCCCAATTTTGAAAAATCAACATTTTCTTAATATGTTGGTGGAAAAATTCCAGTTTTCTTAGTATGTTGAAGGACAAGTAGTTAAAGTGTAAGTTATCAAAATGATAATAGTCAAGCTGGACCAGCATACAAATGTGACATTTAATACTTGCAATTGGTGAAAATTATAGGAATGGACCTCTGGGGCCTTCATAACCATTAAAAAACCGTTTGGGAAGAAGTTGGTTGGGCTTTTTTGGCTATTTTAACCACAAAAAATAAAATAGGATATTTTAACCATAACAAACAAAATATCACATCCAATCCATAATCATTACACTTGGTGGAAAAATTCCAGTTTTCTTAGTATGTTGAAGGACAAGTAGTTAAAGTGTAAGTTATCAAAATGATAATAGTCAAGCTGGACCAGCATACAAATGTGACATTTAATACTTGCAATTGGTGAAAATTATAGGAATGGACCTCTGGGGCCTTTATAACCATTAAAAAACCGTTTGGGAAGAAGTTGGTTGGGCTTTTTTGGCTATTTTAGTCACAAAAAACAAAATAGGCTATTTTAACCATAATAAACAAAATATCACATCCAACCTATAATCATTACACTATTCTCTCACAAAAAAAGTCAAAAAAGCCAAAAAGCCAAAAAACTCTTCCCAAACCAAGCTTTTTAACCCAGGCTAAAATAGTCAAAAAAGTCAAAAAACTAAAAAGTCAACCCACTTTCCAAACGGAGGCTAACTGACTTGGTGACTTTCTTTTGCAGACTACCACTTTCTTTACCATCTTATTCTTTGCTAAGAAAAGTTTAGGTAGAAATTCACTGGATCTGGATGTGTTCCTTAAAACTCTCTCTTTTCCTTTGAAGTCCTCACTGGATTTTATTGGTCCTTTTTTTTTTTCTTTATTTCTTTATTTTTTTAATCTACAATACAGACATATATCTGGCTTGTTCCAAAGGGCTGGGACAAGGAGAGCCCGCTAAGTGGCACAACAAATAGCCAGATGAAACAAATGGCAAAGTGCAAAAAAAAATACACAATCTTTTTAAATCGTTTTAATATATCTTAAGAACACACATTACCAAAATTCTTTAATTAATATGTACTGCCTTTTTTTTATCAAAATTTTCAATTTGCTCTCATTCGTCTTATTTTCATGTACGCAGTACTCAATAATCTTATTCATCTACCTCTTTAGTAGTGGAAGGTTCTTTTTGAGAAGCCCACAAGAACTACGGCCCAAGCCCAACCCAAAAGCTTAAGCTCGCCAAGGCTTATATACCAGTGAGGCGATGTTATTATATACCTCTTTTACTAATGGAAGGTTCTTCCAAAGAAGCCCACAAGGACCACGGCCCAAGCCCAACCCAAAAGCATAAGCCCGCCAAGGCTTATATACCACGCTTGGTACCTATGCAGTAAAGCCTTTTGGAAAGCAGAGTTTTTACTCGAAAAAAGTTAAAAATTATTACCAATCCCGATTGGTAGCTCGAAATCAACGCGGCTCGAATGGCCCGAGACCAAACAACGTCGTTTTCGAATTTTTTTTTTTTTTTTTCTCTCTTTGAAGATGAAGAAAAAAAATGAAGAACAGAGAGAGAAAGAGGAAGATGGGTTCATCTTCATCAACAACAACACAGAGAGAGGAACAGAGTTCATCTTCATCATCAACAACACAGAGATCTTCATCAATATCAACATCTTCATCAACATCAACATCAACATCAACATCAACATCAACATCAACAACATCTTCATCATCAACATCATTGCAACAACATCATCATCATCTTTATCATCTTCAACATCATCATCATCTTCATCGACAAAAAATAAAAAAAATTACCTTTAATCCTCAAATCCAGATCTACTGAAGAATTAAAAATCCGTGGTTCGGTTCCTCTTTTCCGTGAAGAAGAAGGAGCTGGGTCTGATGATGATGATGGGTCTGATGATTCGGAACCGAACCAAGGAGCTGGGTCCGGTGAAGAATTAAGAAGAAGAAGAAGAAGGAGCTGGGTCTGATGAAAATCTGTGGGGTTCGATCGTCCTTCTCCTCTTCTCTCTCTCTCCCCTCGTCTCTTCTCTCCCTCTGTATTTCAACGCACAGAGAAAGAAAGAAAAGAAAAAAAAACCCAAAACGATGTCATTTTGGGTATTCGTGCCAATTTTGAGCCAACAAATTCAAGCAACGGATCATTTTTCAATTACTACAAAACTCTCAAATCATCCTTTCAATCTTTTTGTACATTTTTTCATAAATAAATTAAAAAAATATTTAAAAAGCCTTTCTGTAGTTTTTTTCATAAAAAATTTAAAAACTATTGAAAAGCCAATTTCCAAACACTCCCGAGTGATGTGGAAATATGGCTAAATCCCTATAAAGAGTTTGAAAGCACGCATTAGTTTATATTTTCAGTTTTTAAAAATCAAAATTAATTTTTTGATATTTTCTAAAACACGAGTTATTTTAAAAAAAAATATATATTGAAAATAATTGAAGATTTTGCATTTAAATAAGAATAATTCAAAATAATTACTCTAGTTTCATGTACTTGCATATGAATCTACCTCAAGTGCAAGTCAGAGTACTTGTCTGAAACAACTCTTATTTGCTCTGACTTGTGCTCGCATAATAATAAAAAGCACTATTTGCAGACAAATAATTTTTAAAACTTAAATTATTTCTACCCAATAGAATAAAACAAAGAAGTCGATTTTATGTACTCAACAAGTTTACCATAAAAATAAAAGAAATCATGTTCTCATCACTACTGGAATTGATAGGAGTGGTCTAAGAATCCGTGACACCACATAATGTGCCGTCAAGTATTGTGTCAAAAATCATGGTTGTAAATAAGAAATCTTGGACAAAAACTACCCGTACAAATCTAATTCATTTACCAAGTAGAGGAGTTTATCTCTATCCTTCCATTAAGTGTTCACATAACAATGGCATTATTCAAAACCGTAGCTGTTTCTTCCAAAAACACACAAAAGCATGAGACCTACTACAACATAAAGGAGGTTAGGAGCAAATTCAAGAAA